GAAGATTTCGTCAGTTTGTTTTAGATCCTGAGTGAACACCTCGTGATTTAATCATCGAATAAATACAAATATTATAAAATAATGATAAAATAAAAATAAAACCAGTCAAAGTGACATTTAAAATGAAAATCAGCTGACATTTAAAAACAGAATTCAAAAAGTGTTTACAAAGTCATTTGAACGAACAAAAGGTACTTTTGCATAAGTCGAACAGAAAATCAAGCAGGACAGAAAACATTATAATGTGGAGACAGAAAGAAAAAGATTAGATGAAAAACAGAAAATGACAATAACAAAGACGAAGAAAAGATCAAAAAGTTGATTCTGTTCATCTGGACGAGCTTGTACTCGCCACAATATTACTCATCGAGTGAATAACTCAATTATAAAAAAGTCCTGACACGTTTTGTGCCTCATTGCTTCGTTTAACGCTCAGCTCTGATTATCGACCTTCTACCTTTACAATCATGCTGCAGCTCCTTCCTGCCCTGCTGGTTGGACTTGGTTTGGAGGTCGCTGTTTTCTCTTTGATAGCAGTCAGAAGACCTGGACTGATGCTGAGGTACATCAGAAATAACAGCAGCTGTATATGTACATGTTATATGTGGGACATATAAAAAGCTTCCTGCTGTGAGAATCATTCAGTGAAAGAAGACTTGCTTTATATTCATATTCACACACAGTTTGAAGTGCATGAGTAAATACACAGGACTTCTGTTCTTAGCTGATTATTGCTGCGGCGTCACAGCCCTGCACTAACAGCTTCATGCTGATACATGCAGTGCAGTAATGTTCATGCAGTGATGTTCAGAATTCAGAGCAAACATTCCCTCCTCGTGTCTCTTCTATTCATCAGCTCTCTCTTTGCTGCCTTCATCAAACTCACTTTATCTTTGATTTTAAATGCATTCTCACACTTTTCATCTTCTGTGCACCTCATCTTCCTCCTCAGAGTTCCTGTCAGACACTCGGTGGAAATCTGGCCTCATTCCACAGCACAGCTGAGTACACCTTCATCAGAGAGCTCATTTGCACAGCAGCAGGGTCGTATCCACGAGCTTGGGTTGGAGGCAACGACAGAGAGAATGTAAGTGTTTCACAGATAAAGAGGATGAGCTGCAGCTGTTTCTGATATTTCATATGTTTCTCTTCATATTCATCAGTTTGATTCAAAGGTCAACATGTGACAGACTGATTAATCAGGACTTTGTTCCTGGAGACAGATGCTGCTGTTGACTTGACTTTTCTTTTCATTTTTTACCTGCACAAACAAAATGAACCTTCATTGTGTTCGAGTGGTGTAAGAGGTCTCATGTCTGCACTCTCAGCATAGATGCATCAAAGTACATCAGAACAAACTGAACTTTATTCTTCCAGGAAACTGTGTGGAAGTGGAGTGATGGCTCCCAGTTTGACTTCACAAACTGGCGCAGTGGACAACCAAACAACTCTGGAGGAGATCAAGATTGTATGGAGATAAACTTTGGAGGTACAAACTGAAAGTGGGCCTGTTGATGAAATGTGTTTGGTTTTTATATTGACTGAAGTCATGTGATCTTAGGTCTTTATAAGAACTGTGTTTGTTCTTTTTACATTAGAGAAGAAGAAAACATTTACTGCACAGACCTCTGATTTTATTTCTTTGTTTTGATTCTTTACAGGACGAGATTATGTCAATGATGTGGGATGTCGAGGGAACAGCTCTTCTGTTTGTGTCAGAGGTCCATAACTGTTCCTTCATGTTCTGACACATCTGACATGATGATGTCACATCCTCACTGTTGATGTCACTTCCAGCAGGATGTCAAGCCTCGATGACATCACTGCTGGAGGGTATTGATCAATATTTCATATCACAATAAACATGAATAAATAGATATCCTGAGCAGCAATCAGTCTCACCTGTTTTCCTAATTTCATTCTCACTTTGTGTAATATACTGAAAATAATTTAGTAAAGCCACACACACAGGTTTGTGTAAGTGACACAATATAGAATCTAATTTAGAAAATTCAAACAGTCTAGTTGGTGTCACTTCCGAGCTGCAAAAGGATGCAGTTTCCTGTCAGCACTTTTTGGCACAGAGTGTACTCAGAGTTAGGCCTTTCTCATATGAAGCAATATAATCAGCACATAAACATTTAAGATGATAAATCTAAACCTCAACACCTCCCAGCCCATTGTTTATTCAGTGGGCTGGTTTCACTCATTATGCAAATGTATGTTTATAAGAATGGGGAAACCTGCAGTCAGCTGAGACTGAAGAAGTCACTTGGATGCAGTGGCCGTCCTAGCCTGTTTGGTGCCCTGGGCGAACACCCCCTCTGGTGCCTCCCCACCCCGTCCCCTGTACTCTCTACCCCACCCCACACCCACACATAAAATATATTAAGGATTGTACATTAACATATTTTACTGTAAAAACTGTTATTGGAACAAATAAACAACTGACAATGACTAATTAACCTCTGGGGTCGACGGACGCGCCGGTGCATCAAAATCACATGACCAATTTAAGACAACACAGCTACAAGATGCAGCGACTCAGAGTCTCCATTTCAACTTGGGTCGAAACTGCGGACTTCAAACTATACGCCAGTTTTTGAATTGTGTCGATGGGCCACGTAAAACCAGAGTTATGCTAAAAAATACACACAATGTTTTTTTCTGAACAAAACAGTGGTGTTTACAGCGGGAACAACGGTAAAAATGGCGTTTTCTACGGACAGCGCTTGCGAGTGAAAATGTTACGACTGGGGCTGCAGCCATGTGAAGTTCGGAGAAGGAGGACTTTGCAGCACTTACTTGAGAAGCAGGGAGGTTTATTAGAGAAGACAGAGCACAAAGTGGGGATGGCAAAACAGAACTGAGGATAACCTAAACTGGGAAAACTAAACTATAGAATGGCAAACCTGAAACACGAGAGGAGAACTGCAGGGAGAGCACATAGTGGAGACATAGAGAGGTTCACGGAGCAACGCAGAAACGCAGGGTAACACAGAGGATGAACACAGAAGACGCGACGAGGAACAGAGGCAGACACACACTATAAATACACAGAGACACACTGGGAAATCACACACAGGTGGGAGACACAGCTGGACCTGATTAACCTGACGAGACAGGGGAACACTAACACCAGGGACCAACAGGGGGAACAACGTGAGGAACAGGTGAGCACTGTGGGATGGTAGAAGTGAGCCTTTGATTCAAAAGTAGAAACAAACTAAAACCTGTTGAACAGCTTTACTCAAACTAACAGGAAGTGAATGATTACCTGAAAGTAACTTGTTTCATATCTTTGAGCTGAAAACCAGCTGTTTCTGTCTCCCTGCAGCTG